TCAGATGCCTGATGGGACTATGTCAGGGGAAGTGTTTTCCTTTGACAGGGAGGAGGGGACAGTGTGATACTTACTGTCTGTCCCTTACAAGGCTAGACAGGTTTTCGTCTCTGCTTTCCCAAGGCTGTGGTGTTGTAAAGCAGAATGGTTTTACAACTTCATGGAAAAGCACTTACTAGGTTAAATAATGATCCAGTCACGGTCCAAACCACAAATAGCAGTATGTTAATCTTTCTGTAAGCTTTCTTGAAGAACTGGCAGTTTCTCTCACTTTTGCAAAAGTTTGAGTGGGACTGAACACAAACCGGCTTTTGAAAACAGAGTGCACGCAGGACTTTGGAAACGCACTTAGGCAGGGCAGCTGGGTGGAAGCAACTTTTTTTAAGCAGCATTGCCAGGATATAGGTTTTTGAGCAAAACTTACTTTATCATCAGGCTTTTGAGATCCTGATCTTCACCTTCTCGTAACTCATATTTGCTTGTTAGAGACAGTGAAATCTCTGTTTTTGCAAGTTGATTCAATGTGCTTTCCCTGTTGGGGTCATTGGGATCAACAGCTCCTTCCCCTGTAAGGAAATATCTTTTACTTCAAATTTGTCAACTTTCCCACTATTCAATGCATGAAGCGAACAAGAGCATAGATAAATAACTGTAAATCAGAAATATTATATTTATTAAATAGCACACCCATTCCTAGCATATAGAAACAGTCCTTTTTTTTTGGATATTGGACAAACTAAACCACAAACCAACTATTTATAAGTCTAGTTGGAGTATTCTGGAAAATGCCACCAATTCTTACTTTTCTCATGTGCAAGAGACTCACATGTTGTCTTCGCAAAGAATACAAACAATTTAACATCCTTTGTCCTAACATGCAGTGATAGTGAAAAAATGAAAGAGTAGCAGCTACGTTAACAAGCTATTCACTTCAAAGCTGATATTTTATCCATGACATCCTAGTTACTTTCTAAACAGTTCACATCTTACTACAATTAAGGCAAATTAAATCAGTCACATTTATTCCTTATAACTTTCTAACAAACTTGCATAATTTTAAGACTTCATTTTTATTTGGATAATTAAGCGTCAAAATTAAAAATGACTAGAATGCATGGAATTCTCCATGCACTTTTTGTAAGTTTCTAGCCAACACTAGCAAATCTTAAGATCAGGTTATTAAAAATCACTGGTTTTCTATCTGCAATTTGAGCACAATTGTAGCATTCTGCTCAAAACATTGTTAATGTTTGGATTTTTAATCACATCCTTAATCTTTATATTGAATATTGCAGTTAGAAGAAGGTTCAGCTAGAGGGAGAAATCTTACAAAAAGTGTTCAGAAAAGAATTCTATAGTAAGTGAAGAAGCTGTCACTATGAGAGACATGAGAGTATTTAAATCAAGCCCCCATTTAATTCTGCCCCTAGAGCAAAGGCAAAGAACAGTATACCAAGGAAAGACTCTACACCAGGAACAGGTCCCAGTCCTTCCAGCAATTCATTCAGCAGGTCATTCGGGTCAGTGGCAATGGCATCCTGATGTTCTAATAGTAGCTATAAACACATGTAAATGAAGTTATAAAAAACCCACAAACCCACCCACCA